ACCTGCCTGTGATAGTGCATCACGTGTTTTTTCTGTATCAGCTTGATATGTCATCCCTTCTGTGGCTTATTAGGTACGAAGAACTGTAGAAATCTTCACGCAGGATGAGAGGGGAGTCTGGAGACCCTCCTTTTGTTGTGTTGTTTGGTTTGGTTTTCTCCCCCCCTGCCCCAGGGTATTAATTTAGGTTACCAAAAGACCTTAGGTATTTTGTGGAAATGTCTCACATTAAAACAGACTAAGCAACGTACTCTAAGCAAACAATGTGTTTGCATACTAGCGTTCCTCAATAATTCTCATGATGGGACTGTTAGACAAAATAGCAGCTCTTGAGTTAGTAGGAGCTCAGCAGGAGCCAGTTAAATGTAAATGTAAATATTTTTCTGAGGTTTCTCAGTGACTGTCATTTAGATGAGGTTAAGAAAGATGCAGTCCAGCCTGAGTGGTAATTCTTCAGTAGAAGGGGAAAGCTTGAGCAGACTCCTTTCAGTGCCAGGCTACTCTTCTGTGAAATCCTGAGGTATGGACAGTAATGTGCTATCGTTGTCTGAAGTCGGCAGGTGCGAGGGGTAAGCTTGAGCATTGCTTAGATGTTAAATGTTCACAGCACAGTGCTTATCATTCTGCCCGTTGCTTAGACTCATGTGACAAGCAGTGAGCAAGACCCTGGGCAAAATCTTTGAGAAAGAGGTCTGTATTAGTGCCCTTGTTACTACGCCATTTCATAGTGGAAGAAGTCAGGTCTCAATGCTAGTAACGTGCAAAGTTACCTTCAATTATGTCTTCCAGGGCCTTGCTGGGTCACTTCCAACACTGAATTTTTTTGGTTATAAGCTATTTGGGAAAGGGGTTAGGCAGTTCTTGAAAAATAATGGAGAAAGGGAGAGGTGTATAGACAATTAGTTGTGCGTGGACTAGAATGCCTTTTTGTGGGAGAAGGGAAGGAGAGCAAATGCACGCAGGTGAAAGTACAGGAGAGAGGTCTTGGGGATTTGTCGCTTCTCAATGATTAACTGCTATCATGTTTGCTCTCGGGCAAGGACCACGTGATGCGGGATATAGACACCTAAGCACTACATATGGTTGTTAAAAGATGAGGATTACTGCGGATTGTGAGGTTCAGTGTAAGGTACAGTTTCACATCCAGCTTGAGCTGATACAATGGCTCGTTGCTGCCAAGAGGGAAAGGCCTTTCTTCCCATTCTTGCCATTTACCTTGTGCCACGCTGGTGCTTTTTGGACATCAATGAACTGATTTGACTTATTTAAAAGGTGGCAAAACTTCCTTGTGTTGGTAGCCTTCTGTCAGTTTTAGTGATTAAACTGATAAGCAGTGGGAACAACAGCAAGACTGCCCTGTTTTGGTGACCCCGCTCAACGCATCTTGTGGTCTGTAATCAAAGAGACATTATCACCTTGGAGTAGGCTAATGAGCCTCCCGAGAAAGGAGGAAGGAGAATTTTACCACTCCTTGAGACAAGGGGTTGTTTAACAAGGCGGTCAGGTACAGGAGGTGGTGAGAAACAGCGCAGAAACAAAACAAGCGAAACAAGACCGATGAATCCCAGGCTGTCACTTTGTCAGGACTAGGCAGGAAGTCTGTTGATAAGATCAAACCAGAAGGTTACTGATTAGTATATGTGGATTAATCATAACTTTTTTTCATTTCTGCACCTATTTTTTCACATGTGCTTGTAACTGTTTTGTCTGTAGTGATAGATCAGTTACTGCTTCCCTTTGCATGCTACATTACCCTAGCCTGGATTAAGATTAGTACCCCAGTACCTGGGCCAGAAACAAGTGGGGTTTTTTACTTATGGGTAAAGCAAACTCCCTTGGCTGAAGTAATCGAGAACCTCTGTAGTTTGTGGTAGCAAGAAGATGAGCATGTCTCAGTTTCAGCTGCACAAGTCAGCTGGAGAGCAGCTGTCGCAGATCTGAGGCAGAAGTGTCTTCCAGTAACCAGCAGTGATGAGGCAGCGGTGTTTCAGCATGCAGTCTGAGCGCTCGTGAGCTGAAGGTGGCAGGGAATGTGTCATGATAGAAGATAATGAGGCATTAAGAGACAAGTTTGACTATAGCTCTGATATATTTAACCTGATACCATGTAGATGTTATTTTCTATCTGGACAAGACAGTCTTCTGAAACTGCTGGATTTGCCTTCAGCTGGATGTGTGAACATGACAGAAGGCCGTAGTCTGCGTCAGTGAATCGCTAGAAATTCTTTTTCCCTGGTTAGTGATGGGTTATTTTCTACTGAGCATGAAGCTGAGTGCTGACTGGTAGAGCCCAAACAAAATGGGCATTCCATTTTGGAATGGAAACTTGAGCAAGACACCGTAGTGCAAAATGCTAATAGTGATCTGAAACCTGCTCGGAAGTGAGTGGCAACTGGAACTTTGGAAGAATTTCACAGGTCTCTGTCAAAGTGGGAAACTGGAAAAATCTCTCAAGTAATTCCTATTTGGACTGCCCATTAGGTTACCTTTCTGTTTTCCTGATAGTATATTTTCAGTTTAGCAGTTTAAAAAAAAAAACAAAAAAACCAACAGAAACTAAGCCACCCTCTAAACACAGCTCTCCTTTCTTAAGAGATTATTTCACCAAGTGAACCAAACTTTTATCTCTATTACAGCAATATGTGTCATTCTGTACTGATGGGGAAACGGCTTGCCATGATTCTGTGTTATGAGGGAGGGGGAAAATGAGTATGAGAGTATGACGAGATTATGGTGAATACCTTCTACAATAAAATGTAGTAGAACAATGAGCTGTTTGTAGTCATTGTTAATCGCTTACTATGTATTGCTTAACTTATCATTGGAGTGTGACTTCCCAGTGGTAATGTCCCCTTTCTATTGAGTTCTGTAAATATGAGTAATTATCAAATCAAAATAATATTTTAATTTTGTTCCTGCGAACTCCCTTCCTGTACCTGAGGGCATGAGTTTCTTACAGACATAGGCTGTGTAACCATGGAGTGTTTTGAGGTCTTCTGATACCCTTATCTGGGTAAAAAATTTGCAGTTTTTTAACCTTGAATAGCTACAAAATATTTTGTTTTTAATAGGTATGAGCAGCAAGAGAATGAAAAGAATTGAAGTAGAAGGGTTGTGTGTTTTTTAAGGACTATCTACACTGGTGATCAGTTGTTTCCATCTAATGGAAATACTCAGTGAGAACGTGTGGGCGGAGGCACTCTAAAGGACTGCTTTTAAAGGAGTTTCGGGAGGGAACAGTACACAGAGATATGGAAACAGGAAAGTAGTGTTGTTTGAAAATGCAGTGTAATATATTATGCAGTAGTGACCCATTTCCATTAAAGAAAATAAATTGGTAAAAGGCAGTACGTGTTTATGGTAGGCTGCCTACACATGCATGCGAAGAAATCCACAAAAGCGGGCTACTGCTTAGTGTGTTTTAGTATTTGTCTTCAGCCTGCTTTATGCCAGGCCGCATTTATAGATACTGAAACAGTCTGATTTAGTTCAGCTGTGTTGGGAGAGGGAAGGGGAGAAGCCTATCAGCCCTCCTACGGTGATCTCTTCTGGCAGATGAGTTGGGAACACTGAGAAAAGCATCCTTTGAAAAGGTTAGTGCAGTCACTGCATGAGGTAAAACCTCCCTGCCTAGCTGGCTGCAGAGCTCTGGTCTCAAACACGCCGGGCTCTACCCCGGAGCGCTGCGTGCTGGCGTAACTCTCTCTTCCGACTTAAAAGCTATCCTCTGCAGCACAGCGTTTTCCTTAATTTGTCCTGTCAAGAATGTGGAATTGCAGAAACTACTGTCCTGTTGGTGCCCCGAAGAGGGGGAGGGAGCTGTAATGCCAGGCTTCGGGTAGCTGGGTAGCTGCTTTTGCAGGCACAAAAGGATAGAGCTTGGGCTGCAAGTATTTCAAACTGAGGAAGAGAGAATTTACAGTTGTTGAGGTTACCTTCGTGACTACAGTTTCCTACAAGCTGTGTGTTTAGCGCTAAGAGATATGGAGTGTCTCTTAATGTTCAAGAGAACAAGAGAAGGTCGCTGAACTGTTTTGAAATGGCAGCTCTTTCACTTCTGATTTCTGGCATTGGCTTGGTGCGGCTGTAAACCTCTGTTACTGTGTGTACCTGTTCTGGGCATGGCATATTGAAGTTTTAAAGGTTGCTAATGCAGTAGGTAATAAACTGGGATTTTATGCTTAACAGATCAATAAATGTTCCTGTAAACTTTTATTTGAATTGCCCTTCTGCTCTCTTATGGTGACTGGGTGATGCTTGGGATGGGAGTAGCTCACCTTTCCCCCTCACCCTGCCTGCCAAAAACTGTCCTGAGAAAGCTCTTGC